CAGTAATAGTTAAGCACAGGTTTATGGATGTCAGTACATGAAATCGAAAATAGTATTTTTTTCTTAAAATTTGTGGATTTTTTTCTTGAATTGAGGACAGTGAGACACTTTGCTGATGGAGCAAGGCAATTTACATCTAAAATAAGAAAAAAAATATTGCATTGTCTAATTTCAAGTACATATCATCTAACTATCTTATTTTAGGAGTAAAAATACTCGTTCCATTGGAAAATCATCTTATTTACCGAAAGGACTTAAGGGTAAAAACACTTAATTTAACAAATGTTTATTTATCTCAAGATCATTTTTGCAGTGTAATGTTTAGGTTTAGGGCTGCTCAGTGGAGCAGTGGCTAGCACTGCTGCCTTGCAGCAAGAAGGTTTTGGGTTTCTTTCCTTGCCAAGGGTCTTTCTGCATGTTCTCCCTGAGCATGTGTGGGTTCTCTCCAGGTACTCCCGCTTCCTCCCTAAGTCCAAAAACATGACTGTAAGGTTAACTGGATTTTCTACATTCTCCTTAGGTGTGAGTGTGTTTAAATGGTTGTTTCTCTCTGAGTGGCCCTGCGATGGACTGGCAATCTGTCCAGGGTGGACCCCGCCTCTCGCCAGCTGGAGATAGACACCAGCGACCCCTCGCCACTGTGGCTGGGAAGAAGCGTGATGGAAAATGGATGGAAGGATGTCTAGATTTAGGGTTAGGCCATAGAAAGGGTTAAATAATTTAAAAAAGGTCAATAAAACGTCCTCAGTAAGTCTATAAAATAAGGACGGGTGTGTGTATGTAGTTTTATTGAGCACCATGATCCTTGAAGATTGAAATATTACTACTATATTTGTTTATGGTGTAAAACAGAACTAAAAATGAACTCAATAGAGGAATCTCAATTAAACTGTTAAATGATTCTACTGTATAAGAAATCCCTTCTGTAAACCTACAAAAGCAATTATTATAATTAATTATAATAGAGGTGATCATAAATATTCCTATGTGTTTTATAAACTTGATGAAGTGTAAAAATGAATTATTCTGAGGAAGCATCTGTCAAAGGTCCCTAAAGCCACAGAGCTGCACTCGTTCCTGGTGGTAAAGCTCCAGAACAGCTGGGCTTCTGAGCACGTTTAGCTCATGTTCTCTTTCAGAAGACTGGGAGAAGTTATCTGGGCCCTCCCCACATCCACCTTCTTCAGGATGACTTGAGAAACCTGGATGGACCATTAGCTCTGCAGTGACAACAGGCTGACGAAGGCCTGACGCTCCTCTGGAGGACGGCTCAGTGGTTCCTGCTGCCAAGGCTTCCTTCAGAGCCCTTTGCAGAGTGGAGACCGACATGTTCTGACCCATGGTGGAGAGTCCCAGGTACACGTCAGGCCACCTGTGAACATTATAAAGCATTGCATCTTCAATAATATTGGCTTTTTTCAACAAAAGAACACCTAAACGCGCAGAAATCAGTTAAAAACAGCCACCAAGCAGTTCCTTTAACAGCTTTATACCTGATTCCATAGCGTCTGAAGATGGGGACTGAGTCCAGGGCATCCTTTTCCACTTGCGTGTAAAAAGTTTGCAGATGTGCCGGCAACCAGGGACAGCTGTGTAAACCCGGCTCCACCGGAACACGAGTGAAAGGAATCCTTAGATCTGAGAGGACTTGTGCAACCACCTCACGAACATCTGAATGGCAGAAACACAGAAAACATAAATAAGTCCCCAGGAGTCTGACATGTAGCTATTGAAAGTATTTATATTGTTCCTAATTACAGGTAGAACCTTAAAGAAATTAAATTTGGTTAAAATAATCCGGTTAGTTTCAAAGGTCT